ATCATGGAACAGAAACTGCACCTGCCATATCACAGTGAGTTTATTAGGATATGTTACAGGAATTTTCGGTTCACGCAACATGTCGGTACCAATAGTAGCAGTTATTTAATTTATAAGGTATGTAATGTTTAAAAACGCATAGCATATAATATACAAAACCCAGTTGTACATAGTACAACTAAGAATATTTTATTATGTAATAATCTTTCAGCAAACAATGTTAGCTTAAACTAAACATTGAGACAACGCCTAGCCCACTTAAATTAAATATTGTGCATCAAAATACACAAGGCTTAGGCGGCAAAGAACCCGAAATTGAATTGTTCCTTAGGAAATTTAATATACATGTCATCTGCTTCACAGAGACATGGTTACATAAGCACTGTAATATTGTTAATATAGAAAATTATAAATTGTTCGTAAGAGTAAATGCTATTCGCGGTGGCTCTCTTGTATTAGTTAGAACTGATATAGTCTGTAAAAATCGACAGGATATAGTGGCACACTCTGTCGAACATTCTATTGAATTATCCTGCGTTGAGAGTCAACAGTATGTTACAGTATGCGTATACCGGCCCCCCTCAGGTGATTTCGATCAGTTAGAGTGCGTAATGGATGATGTTCTTAAAAAACTATGTTCAAGTAGTAAATCATTAATAGTTTGTGGAGATTTTAATGTGGATTTATTACAAGTAACACAACTCAGTAAACCACTTTTAAATTTATTTAACTCATTTGAACTTAAAAATCTTTTTCATGAACCAACTCGTGTTACTAACTTATCCTCCTCATGTATAGATAATGTATTCTGTCACAATGATGTATATCATAAATATGTTATAAATCATCTGAGCTCGGATCACTTTGGGCTAAAATTTTCAATAAATGAAAAAGCTAATGCAAGCAAACTTAAGATCAAGTGTAGACCAGTCACTACTAATAGAATAAATACTTTTAGAGATAAAGTGGCACATCATATGTTAAATAAAGATATAGGAATCAATAACCCTAATGATTCTTATAGATCAATAGTTGACTTTCTCATATCTTCTAATAAATAAGGAAAAACTTACTACGCCATTGTTTCGTCTACAAAAAGTAAATAAGTCGTTCATGGGGCAAAGTGTGCGCATGTATAATAAAATCCCACAGTCGATATTAAGTCTGCCGCTTGACCAATTTAAATGTAAAATTAAAAATCAACTGATGATTAAAGCATATTATATCATTTCGGAATATCTCGACGACGCCAATGTGTGGAGTTAATACTGTTGATACTCACGTAGGCTAGAATAAGACTATTATACCTGTATATTATATTGTACCCTGATATTTTTGAAAAAGAGCAACTGTTGAGTTTCTTGCCGGTCTCTTCTCAACAGAAACCGCTTTCCGAACCGGTGGTACCTTACGAACCTATACACATAATCTTTGATGTAAAATTTGACGATTCATAAGAGCGCGCAAGCGTCTATTTGAATAAATATATTTTTGATTTTGATTTTGAACGTAGATATTTTTTAATGTAAGAAGATGTCGAACTAGGCCGAGACCTAATGGTTTACCTGATGTTATGTGATTACTGCCGCCCATGGACATTTGTAACACTCGTAGGGTTGCGGATCACATTATAATATTATAGGCTCCGGTTAGTAAAACCCTTTCACTTCACGCCGGTACTTCCCCAGAAGGACATACCCATTCGTGCAAGGAACTAAATGAAGGCTAAATACAAATAGGATTAAGCTTACCTACCTGAGAGACATTTTTTATTATTAAATAATGATAACAATAATTTTGGAGTTGTGTTGTTAATAGCTGATGAATTTTAAAGTTTGTAGATAAAGGACGAAAAGTTTTCGTTTGTGTGTTTGTCACTGTGACCACTAAGGTAAACGGCTAGCCGATAAAGTCAGTTAGTGGATAAAGCATCTTCCCGCAACTTCGTCCCTTTTCTACAAATTTTAAAAATTCACATTGGTGCAAAGATAAGCACTTTAAAAAATTATAAACCTCATGAAAGTATTAAAGCTTATAAATAGCATTTGTGACATTCTTCTAATCGAAATAAAAAAAAGTAAGAAAAAATACCTTTAATAGTATTTTTTTCTTATTCTTTCCGGAAACTTTTTAGTGCGCCCCACGTATAAAGCGAAAACCACTGTTTATAAACACTGAATTTTATATTTGAAAATTATTCAATTCAGTATATAGATATATTACTATTTAAAATATACAGCGTGTTGTTACCATCGCGACAATAAATGAACACACGTCTAACGCTACTTGCCAATAATCATAAAAAAATGTTAACGTTAAACAAAATCCATAATTAAAAAAAAATATTTTTCAAACAAACTTATTAAGTAAAAAATGAAACAAAATTTGTAACATCCTATACAACGATGCGTAAGGGTGTTCTAAAATTCTTTGTTTTGGAAAATTTAATAACTCGGTAAATATTGATGTTTAAAGAATTTAAATGTTTAATACAACTTTAAAAACTTATCCCCTATGTGTGTGTTCATTTAATGTCGCGATGGTAACGACACGCTGTATAATACAAAATGAGACACATCCAAACAGCATATATTGCTTCAGTTTTAACCATTAGTTTTATCAAATTCGGGAGAAATTGAGTTACAAATAAATGATGCACTAATGTAGCGGTTAACCGAATCAGGTCTCGAGTACATAGTTAAAATATAATTATGTGCTTAAAATTACATAATTAATTAACAAACACAAAATCCACGCCTACAAATGATTTTGTCCACCTGCATGTTCGTTAAGCCGGATCAAAAACAGATTTGTTTTTAACACGCTTTTTATTATCTTGGTATGTATGTATCGGAATTTTCACACACTTATTAAAGACGACAATGCAATAATTTATACAGTATGTCCCATTATCCTAATCAGGACCTTCAGGTCGTGCTATTTACCCCGACAGACCTGGCCATTTTTGCAACAGTGAAGACTTTATTCAAAATTTATGCCACATTTAAAAGTTTAGTTCTAAAACATTCAGTGTCACCCTGGTGCATGTCATACTCATTCATTCAATTAAAATCCTATGTCCCCCAGCTGGGGCAGAGGGCCTCCACAGTAGATCGCCATCGCGAACGATCTTGCGCTTCACGCTTCACCTCGCTCCATGTCAGTCCGATGCTCGCTGCATCTGCCAATACGGTGCGATGCCAGGTTTGCCGGGGACGGCCACGCTTTCTTTTTCCCTGAGGATTCCAATCCAATGCTTGTTCAGGAATGTGATCGGAACCTCTCCGGAGCGTGTGACCAATCCATTTCCACTTGCGACGCTTGATCTGGCGGTCAATCGAGCTCTCGTGGCATCTTTCCAACAGTTCTATGTTGGAGATGGTCTCGGGCCAGTAAATTCCGAGTTTGCGACGAAGGCATCGGTTGACGAAAACTTGGATTTGGCGTGAGATGTTCTTTGTTACCTTCCACGTTTCGCACTCGTAGAGCAGCACGGACTTGACATTCGACCCGAAGATTTTGAGTTTAATCCTTCGGGTCAGTTTCCGTGACTGCCAAATAGGTCTCAGTTTTGCGAAGGTAGCTCGAGCTTTGGATAGCATGCCATACTCGCTCTCTTTTAATTCGATATACTTGAGCAACTTGAATACGATCCCCGGCGCCAGCACCAATGAAATTTTTAATTTTAAGTGCTAATTTATCACGTGCTGGGCGGTGTAGGAAAACATTATAGGAAATTTACATATTTTTGAAATAATAATAATAAAATATTTCGAAGATATGTGAAGCCCGCTAATCCACAGTGGGCCCACGTAACTATGCCGTAATGCCCTCTATGCAGAGGAGGTATTTGCTCAGCAGTGGGACATGTATAGGATGTTACTTTACTTACTTTATGTAGGGTGCTACAGCATGGTTTAAATGCCATTTTAAATTTCTCTTATTACATATAATGCTATAATAAATAAGTTACTTTTTCCTCTTATTTTAGTTATTATTCTAATTAAAATAAATTATTGCAATAAAATTTACATACTTACCTAGACTATCCCTAGGTACAAGAAATGTAACTTAATAGTTCAAAATTAATGTCAGCCTATCTCTTTAAATATGAATTTATAAACTTTTTCACCCAATTAAAAAACTTCCCCCTGTTTTTTAATTGGGTTTGGTTTGCATTTAGTCGCAGCAGCCGCTTGTAGAAGTGAATCATCTTCTGTAGATATTCGATTGTTACTAAAATGCTTAAAGGCTTTATAAAGAAATAAAATAAAACTAAGTTCTGGTGTTTGATATCAAAAACTGTCAGCACTAACGTGTTTGCTCCATTGAAAAACCAGTTTTTGGTGTATACAGTGATCTCAACAGCAGTTGTTACTGTTTTGTGTTAAAAGGTTTAAAGTTATAAAACGCAGTGGTTAATTAATGTCAAATGACAATTAAAATTTATAAAACTAGCAACGAAGCTACAAAAGAAATAATAAATAATACATTCTCCGAAAAATTATTTTTGCTATATGGTTTTTAAGGTAATAAAAAATAATTTTTGCTGATAGCATTCTAAAAGGTGATTTTTAACCAATTTAGCCATGAAGTTGAAAGAAATTTTGTGACAAAATTATAAAAACAAGGGAATTAAAGTGTTGCAGTCTTTGCTGGATGCTATCACTACTGATGCTTAAGTTATAACTAGAGAAAATAATTAAAATGAATTCAAGTATACATCTAATCTAAAATTTATAAACTCTGAGGTATTTGGTGTGCTGAAAGACAATATAAAAATAAGATTTATGAAGCAACTACAAAAACATTGACCAATATAAAAATATAGTGAAACGGACTGAAAGCGCACACGATCTCTCCCCCACCAGAGTTGCGGTTTCTCTTCCGCTGATGAAGCGGCCAAGGTTGGAGCCACTCCCCCTAATATTCGGCCCGTTTGGCTATAGTACGCGGACGTACATAAGGTGGGACGGACAACGAGCGTCCTATGCGGATGCATGGTATCCGCTGGCATTCGTCGCGTGCCCTCCGGGATAGCGGAGACCCGGGTTCCTGCTAGAATATTGCCGCCCACTCCAGTGTTGCCCCAGCCCCCGAAACTGTGTTACTTCCCACAGCTTCTGTTCGGGTTTTGGATTCGGATGGCAACACTGTGTTCGCTCGAGCTCTGTTACATTCCGGTACGCAGGGCAGTATTATATCGAGCGATCTTGCAGTACGGTTGGGCAACCCTATTTACAATTATTCTCATTCTATTCGTGGGGTGGGCAACGTTAGAATTTCGGATGTGATCGGTCAGTCTTCGGTTGTATTCTTACCAACTACTAACCCGCGATTACGGTTTAGTGTCTTGGCTTTGGTGATGCGTAAGGTGACGTACATTCGGTCATTGTCGTCAGACTTACGGCTAGCGGACCCCAAGTTTGACACAACGGGGCCAGTAGACGTTCTACTTGGGGCAGATGTATTGGGGAAGCTGTTCCTGACTGGGAAGCGCGTTCTTCATGCCGAGGGTCTGGTTGCGATGGACACCAAATTAGGGAATGTACTGCTAGGCCTGCGTTCCAATAGGTCACTACGGGGGAATCAGACAATGTCGTGGTCGGGTATACGCTTTCGGAAGCAGTCCATTCCCAAGAAGAGTCAGTTGGTTGACCTGTTGGTGATGGATTGTCACATCGCAAATTCGCATTCCGGTTGCAATGCGCTGTTAGCGTCCCTTTCGAGGGAATTTTGGATTTTGTCAGGACGTCGTACGGTTCGGAGCGTCCTTTTCCGGTGTTAGCCCTGCTATCGGCTTAAGGTCGCTACGGTGCAGCCTCAAATGGGAGATCTGCCTCCGGATCGGGTGAAGGAGATGAGGCCCGTTTTCTGGAGTTGGTAGGTACTGACTTCGCTGGGCCCTTCATGATCAAGGCTTCACGTTTGTGGAATTTAAGGTTGGTCAAGGCTTGTCTGTTTGTCTTTCTCTGTCTGACCAAGGCTGTGCACCTTGAGGTAGTTGCCGACCTTACGACTGAAGCCTTTATTGTGAGTTGGAATAGATTTGTGTCCCGTCGTGGGGCTAGAGGTGGCGCTTAATAAATCCGAAGCCCTGTGTTTCTATGGGCCTCGGAATGCGCCACCTGTGGACGCTCACATTGTAGTGTGCGGCGTCCGTGTCGACGTCAAGCCGACGATGAGATATCTCGGCCTAGTCCTGGATCGCAGATGGAATTTCGTTCCCCACTTCGAGCGCCTAGCTCCAAAAGTGCCGAGAGCAGCGGTCGCACTCGGAAGGCTGCTCCCGAACGTTGGTGGCCCCAACTATATATACCCAATAAATATATCTATACACCGGAGTCGTGAGGTCCATGGCCCTGTACGGTGCTCCCGTCTGGGCTGACACCCTGAATCGCCAGACCATGGTGCTTCTGCGCAGACCGCAGAGGGTGTTGGCTATATGGGCCATACGGGGCTACTGGACGATATCTGGTGAGGCGGCGTGCGCGCTGGCAGGTTTCCTTCCCTGGGACCTAGAAGCCAGTATTCTCGGGTCACTGCACTTCTGGCGCGAGGAGGCGATAGGCAGGGGCCACCTGCCGGCCTTACAGGAGTTGAGTAGGCGCAGACTAAGGTTGCGCTCACTCGCTGTCGCCGAGTGGGAGCAGAGGCTAGAGCACCCCAGTGCCATCCTAAGAACCATAGAGGCCATACGTCCGGTACTCAGTCGGTGGCTGGACAGGCGTCACGGCACCCTCACCTACCAGGCGACGCAGGTTCTCTCGGGACATGGCTGTTTTGGGAGGTACCTGTGCCACTTGGCGGGGAGGGAGCCAACAGCGGTTTGCCACCACTGCGACGTATGTGCCGAGGAGACGGCCCAACACGCACTGGAGGAGTGCCCAGCCTGGCGGAGCAGCGCCGAGAGATGATGGCTTTCGTGGGGCACGATCTCTCGCTACCCGCCGGGGTCCGCGCTATGGTGGACAGCAAGAGGTCGTGGGGTGCCGTCCTTGCATTCTGCGAGGACATAATCACCCGGAAGGGGGTCGCGGAGAGAGAAAGGGAGGCAACTGCCACCCAGGAAATCCGCCGCCCGAGACCAGGGCGCAGGAGGCTGGCCTACGCGCGCAACGTCTCCCCTGATAGAAGCCCCGGGGCGGCAGATGTGGGACTAACTGCTGCCCCGCTGCGGAGGGCTTGAGAGGGGTGCCGTGCTCATTGCACCGACACGGCACCATTTGGCTGGACCGGGTGTCTAAGCACCCGGGGAGAGGAGGCCTGAGAAGGCCACAGTCGCGCTGGGGTTCGCGGAAGATTGCGTTTTCGTGTTCCCGTGTCCCCGGCAAAGCGACAGCGCAGGTGCAACGTGGGTTTTTTAGTGGATACCCCGTAACTCCCACATACCCCTGTTGCCTACCCACAAGGCGGCGGGGGATCCATAAAGGACGCATTGTTAATTTGTTTCACGGTAAGGACTGGACCCCTCGGTCTGTTACAACGTTGTCACGGTTATCAGTTATTTAGGGACAGGTTGGGGACCTGTTGACCGGGTGACTCTTCGAAACCAATCTGTGGTTTTTACGACGGAACGTTCGGGCGCGTCCCTAGCGCTGGCGTTAGTTCCGATCTACACCCCTAGGAGTTGTCATCTAGCCACTATGCTGCGTTGACTAGACAGACCTTATCGCTCTGGTGTTTTGCGATAGCTAAAAATATTACAGTAAAGGAGTTTTTAATGTTATATTCGGAAATCGGCAGCGTACAATATTGTTCAGTTAGTAAAGTCAAGTGAAGAGTTGTGATACGGCTCGATTCGCGCGCCGGAAAACAGTTCCGCGTGTCTGCCGCGCTGCCACCGTACATCAGCATTCCTTACTTTCCCTGCCAAATCCTCACCCAGAAACCTTCCCTCCTGAACGGCGATACGACGAGGACAGAGGAATACAGGTGAGCGATGCAATAATTATTATATAAATTTATCACGGCGCCGCGCGATCGCGGCATGTGTTCGTTAGACTTCTCGTTAGGATTCCGGAACCTTTAATTGCTAGAAAGTGGATTACATTATTATATTTGGTACTTATTTTAACACGATTTAATTTAAATTTAAATTAGGTACTAATTCATTAAAAATTGACTAGTACTTTACTTCCATTTGATGGTTGTCTTCGCTGTCAATTCATGTACTTAGTTTACTGCGCTGCTTCATATAATTTGCGGAACGAAAACGGCGTTAAAATAAGAGATTTATACTTTCAGCAATGCATTAGCTAAAAGCATTCGCGTGTTTCGAAATATATCATTTGACGTCGCTTCGACAAGATTGAATGCAGCGAAACGTTATGGAGCTCAGTTGTCCATTGTGTTATAGCGACAATTAAATGAATTCTATGTGTCGCCGGCCATGGATGTCAGATTCTTCATATCGTTCATACTCTTTACCTTCCGGCTTGCTTTTGTTTTACGTCATGCTTGTCGTAATCGACAGGGGCCATTATATTTACGGGCATGTCCCAACCATGTTTAAAAAATAAATACTTTATACAAACCTGTAGGGTGATTGTAGACTTGATATTTTAAAGAAATAATGCTAGGGTTTATTTAATTTATCGTATGTAAAGGAACAAAAAGAATCTCAATATGTGTCCACAAATTTAAATAATATTATAAAAAATATTTTATACTTGTTAATTATGCCAGGCAAACGAGCCGTTACAAATACAAATATTACAATCAATCAATCAAAAATCTTTATTCAAAAAGACGCTTGCACGTTCTTATGAATCGTCAAATTTTACATAAAACATTATACATAAGTTACTTGAGGTTCGTAAGGTACCACACTTAATATTATTCACATCAAATATTTTTCTTTATTCAGTAATAAACTAATTCTTAACTATTAATTATAATTCTAGATCAACGTTCGATTAATAAGCTCTAGATGTATTACCTTTATTGAAATTTTTGTGGTGATTCCTACCCATAGAATACATATAAATAATAGACAGATGAAAAATACTTTTCTATAAAACTAAAATCCGCTTTATCAAGAACCTAGAAGCTTCGTAAATAACTCATCGATTTACATACCTTTTTGCTTGTTTGCGCCAAAGTAAATGTTGTAGTAACTGTAACTTTACAAAGTTCCTAATTAAGACTGTTATCGTCGAGTGTCAACTTCTCTCGTTAATAGCTTTTAAAGTTGTCATTCAAGCTAGCAGAAAAGCTCTCCGTTCTCAGATTATTTCCAGGAAGTAAAATACCATGTGCATTTCCAACATACGCATAACGTGAAGTTCTATAGAGTTGAATATATTTTTTGTTGGTTTTGGTCTTTGTCATGGGCATATTATCGAGAATATATAGCAAATTGGAAGATATAAAAAACACATCTTTTTGACGGGCTGGATAGGAAATCATAGTCGAACTTTACATATATTTATAGATTTTATCATTAGTTCAGAACAATTTCATAAAAAAAAAAATAATTATTGCGAGAATATAAAGCCACCTGACCGAATTTATGTTATGAATTTATGTTAAAGACGCAACTGCGGTACGAAGGACTGCCATTAAAAATAGAGCAAACTTTAAAGCTGACTTTGAGAGAGTAGTAAACGTTATAAGTATTATCTATATCAGTTTAATTTAATGGACGTTAAACGCCTATTGACATTTGCAACATCCGCAGGGTTTCCACCATTTAATAAAGTGGGCCTCATCAGACGAAAAGCAGAAGTATAACACTTTCGGTTCACGTTTTCTGTGAGGTCGTGTTACTTACACGAACGGACCTGCCCATTCGTGCAATAGCGAACTATTATGTGGCTCTACCGCAGGAGCAAATACTTACTTTTAATTGGGTAAGAAATTACACTCCGTCATTCATTGTTTGTCGTCCACAAACAATAAATGACGGAGTGTAATAAAAAAATTATATTATTATTTATGAGCGTGTTCACATCTACCGTGTCCGGGCAGCATTCTTGGAATGAATATTTCTATATGTCTATTTGTCCTTTTTTAGTTTTCTCCCGGTCTACCTCCTTTAGTGAGTTGCGATTATGATCGAATATTTCAATGATAAGTGTCTTAACATTTTCAACTAAAATATGGCGTACTTTTTCTACTAAAGATCTTGTCGCGTCGATGAGAGTAACCGTGTCTGACGACAATGACGGCGTCTGACCATGCCTGACACGGCACGTGGCGGATATGCTCGCTATCTGTATTTGTTATAGATTCGTGCATCAAAAGCAATTTTGGATCAGAGCGATTTATCCGACAGTTTGTTATTTTTATAATGATAAACCATTTATATCATAGAAGGAAAAGGTTTGGTGATCGTTTTAAAACATTTTATAAGAGATAGCAACGTTATGATATAATGAGATTTATATAACATTGGCTCCATCAAAAATATATTTGAATCATAAAATATACAAAGAACATGGAGGGTCACCGCACTTAAAGGCTGAATAATAGATAGATCGAATACGCAATTCAAATACAGTGATGCCATTACGCAAAGGTCTTATTACGTTATGTTTATGGAACTATTTCCTATGATCGGACTGAAAAGGCAAGGCTGTCCAGCCTGCCAACAGGCTTTATCAACGCAATAGAACCCACAACAATGATTGTTAAAATTTTTGTCTGTTTATCTTCTTGCCTGTGTGTGCTAATCAGAAACGGCTTAACCGATTTGGATGCAACTTTTACTAATGCATTGTAGTAAGCTTTACTTAACATTTAGTGTTATTAAAATCGGTTCATAAATGAAAAAGTTGTGTCAACTTAAAGACCACCACATTGAAGATTTGTGCGATAAATTGCTATTTAATAGCTACAGTTGAATTGGATGAAACATTGCATTAATGAACTCTGAAACTGTATGACAAGTATACTTTTATTTCAATTAAGCCAATCCCATAGAATTAGCATTATTCTGTCTTGCAGGCATAACTTCGTCCGTCTCCATGACTCACCGACTAGCCAGGCCAGACCTTGGGCTGCAATTTATTATCCTAAGTTATAAGAAGAACTGATATGTTATGTTCTTATAAAATATTTTATGTTGTTATAAATAAATTACAGGACTGATCATTGAACTTGGCACCCATTTAGATCGCACTTCTTTTGGCGTTGAAGTCAACAACCATAATTATATGCATATATCATAATATTGAACATTACTCTCATTTCACATTTATGTTTTTGATGGGAAATATTTTATGTTGTTATAAATAAATTACAGGACTGATCATTGAACTTGGCACCCATTTAGATCGCACTTCTTCTGGCGTTGAAGTCAACAACCATAATTATATGCACATATCATAATATTGAACATGGCTCTCATTTCACATTTATGTTTTTGATGGGATAGTTTCTTAACCTAAATAATTTATAAGTTGTGGATGTCTCGCGTCGCACCCGGCCTTCAGACCGCGAAGAGCCCCCTTACGCCCCCTTTTTAAGTGATATTTACTTACAAAAAAAAGAGGCCTGAAATATTATTAAAGTTCGTTATTCAATAAATGCTTATCAATTTTTCACGTCAAATATTTTCCTTTGAAATGAAAATACTTCGCTAAAGTAATAAAACTCCGTATCAGATTATGAAATAACTTTAAGGGTCCTCCCCGGATACCGATTGACACTTTATATTTCAATTAATAATCTTCGTTAGGGGCCAACTTTCAAAATTACTGTAATTTGACTTATAGGCTATCCTTAAATTAATGAAAATTAAAAAAAATCTAAGAGCCGTGATAGCTCAGTGTCCGGGCGCTCGCCTTTAATTCAACACATTATTTGTGTAAAATTAGACGTTTCATTTATATACTCGAGCAACCTGAGTTCGATCCCCGGTGCCGGCACCAATGAAGTTTTTAACTTTAAGTGCTGACTTATCACGTGCTCCGCGGTGAAGGAAAACATCGTGAGGAAACCTGCATATTTTCGAAATAATAACAAAAAAAAATATATATATATATTTCGAAGATATGTGAAGTCCGCCAATCCGCAGTGGGGCCGCGTGGTGGACTATGCCCTGATACCCTCTGTATAGAGGAGGCCTTTGCCCAGCAGTGGGACATGAAAAGGCTGTTACTTTTTTTTTTTAAATCTAAATATCTTGATTTAAATAGGATGCTTGCGCGTTCTTATGAAACGTCTAATTTTACACAAATAATAGTAGGTAAGTTACCACCGGTTCGGAAGGCAGTGGCTCTTGTTTTTAAAAGATCAAATTACAATATTTATAATATTCTTATCAAATCATATTTTTATCGAATGTATAAAACAAAATTCTAATCAACCATAACATAAATGGTGTATTAAACTTTTAAGAGATAAAATAATATATTTTATTTTGATAAAATAAATATTTTATTTTGAATTGTATTTCAAATGTATTTTCCTAGATCTAGCGTAGCATTTGATGAGATTTTAGCTAAATGTTCTGGCAGTTTAATAGTTTTAATTCTTAAACTTTGATTTTGAGTTATAATTTAATCAAAAAATACCTGAGTAAAGAGTGGACTTTAACACATTTGAAATTGAGGAGCATATTTGAGATGAATGATCTTTAACTAATATTACCTAACCATAACTAACATTAACTCTTATTTAAAACTCATGACCTTTATTAGAAGCTTTTAAGTCTTTTATTACTAGACATTTTTTAAATACACTGTTCGTTATTTATCACACATCACAATAATAATATAATTACAAATTAAATAATAAAAAGACTAACTATATAATTATGTAACTAAATATTATCCAAGAAAATAAAACGAATTCGAAGATGACATACTAATAGTTATGGTTTATATACGAATTCATACATTTTTGGCAAATTTGCAAAATATAGAAATACAGTTCTATTTTTTCTCATTTTGTTTAAAACAAATGCATCTTGCTCCAATTACCGGAGCT